TGCTGCAGCCTGGTGTCTTGGAAATACCAATAGCTGTTTCTACATAGAAAAGGTTCAATAAATTCTATTAGAGCCATTTGATTGCTTTCAGAAGGGTGAAATGAAGAGCGGCTTCATCCTCCGAGTCCAGCTGGGTGCGGGGCAGTGTGGCGATGCGGAGGTCAGCTTTTCCCATCCCCACGGCATTCCCCTTGGCATCCCTGGAGCATCCCCACGGCCTGGAGCAGAGCCTGTTCCCCGTGGAGGATGTCTCTCAATACACAGCCCCTCGCCCCAGGCTGGTAGCCAGATGGTGGCATCTTGCCACAGGCTTGTTCCTCTCTCCGGTTTATCGACACTCGAATGACACATCGCCAGCAGCGGATTTGTCCGGTGTAGGAGCGGTCTGCTCACCGCCCTGGTGTTGTTCTTTGCATCTTCTTAGAATGGATGTGAGTTATTGCAAAATGCACATTGGCAGCACGCTTTGCAGCAGTCACTCTTGCTCAGCTTTGTGGTATCAATGAAGTTAATTTAATCTTTACTGAATTTTTCCCTCCTCCCTTCCTCTTGTGAAAATAAACAGGCGCAGCTGAGCTGTAAAGCTATACAGACATAAGGTGAAAGCTTTGCTGAGACAATAACCACGGAATCTGTGTCATGTTGAGACTACCACAATTTTCCTTCTGATTTTTATTTTTTAGCTGTACAAACACAACTGGTTTGTATGCTGAAGTGCCGTCATTTGAGCTGGTTAATTTTTGAAGCCCACTCGCTGTTATTTTCTGTCACCTACTCAGAGCCTGTGTCAGCGAGTTGCTCTTTGAAATCCCATGGCCCTGGCCAGGTGTAGAAATAACCATGTTTGTTTATTCTTCCTTCTTTAAGATCTTGCTGGTGTGATGTCCTCCACCTGGTTGCTTGCCATTTCTGATGTAGGCTGGGCGTTCACCTCAGCCCAAGCAGTCTGAAAACAAAACAAAACTCTACGAAGTCATCTTCTACTTTCTCTATTTCAGATACAGGAGTGGGGGAAGGAAACTTGATGTAAATACTGACTTCTCAATTTAACCTTTAAGAAAGCTATGGAAGAGACTCTTGACCTGTTTTTCAGTAAGCCAGGGGGTACAGCAAGGGTTGCATATAACTGAAAAAAAAAGTTTGTTGTACCAGTGTTTTATAACGAGAAAACAGCATGACCTGAATTTGTGCTGTTAGGCAAAGCAGTCTAGGCAAAAATCCAGTAAGAGATAATGTACATGTCAACTTATTTTATCTGTCTTCACTGGAAATTAGGTCATATTAAAATAATTTGCAATAGCTTGCCAGAGACTACAGATGCGGCTGATAATTTTGGTGATTATGGTATGCTGCTTGGACAAGAGTGTTGGACTTGTTTTCCTTTGGTTAATTATGCCTGCTGATTGAAGAAATACATTGCCAAACTAAGATTATAAATGCTAAGGGGGTTAAGAATGGCCTGTTGGGTAGATCTGGAAACATAACCGTAAACAGGGAACACTTAGCCATTGGGTGGACGTGTTTTCTAGTATGGGCTTATGGCTTCTTGACCTTTGGCTCTGGCGTTAGTGACCTGAAAGACCATGTTTTAATAATTTATCAGTAACAGACAAGACCTGGAGCAGTAAGGAAGTAAATATTGTTCTGTACTGGTGATGTGAAGCAAGAGGCGAATCGTTTCAGCCAAGTCTAACGTTGCGGTGCTGTGCATTGGACCCCCCGGGGTCGTACATGTCCTCAGGTTTCTGCCTTTGCCTTCGGGTTCGCGTCTCTTCTGAGAGTTTCTTCTCCACTGACCAGCGCTTGGTTTCACCTCTTTCCAGACTACTCCTACTCCTTTCACAGAATCACAGAATCACAGACTGGTCAGGGTTGGCAGGGCCCTCTGTGGGTCACCCAGCCCAACCCCCTGCCCAAGCAGGGTCACCCAGAGCAGGCTGCACCGCACCGCGTCCAGACGGGGTGCTTCGGTTTGTGCCCGTTGCCCCTTGTCCTGTCGCTGGGCACCACTGAAAAGAGCTTGGCCCCATCCTCCTGACACCCACCCTGCAGATATTTATAAGCATTTATGAGGTCCCCTCTCAGCCTTCTCTTCTCCAGGCTGAACAAGCCCAGTTCCCTCAGCCTTTCCTCGTAGGAGAGATGTTCCAGTCCCCTCACCATCCTTGTAGCCCTCCGCTGGACACTCCATGTTGCTTTCAAAGGCCTGGCAGTCTACATTGACAGGACTGATCAACGCAGGGTGTGGAAAGGGAGAGCAGCAAGCAAGGACAACAGAGAGAAAAACGGTGCAACCTCATCACGTGCATTCTGACTTTTACTGAGCTCTATAGATGCCTTTGGGATGAATCTTCCACACTTTACTGTTTGCTAAATATCTTTATGAAGTATAGGAGTGAGAAAGATGAGACCACAAAAACCTGTGCAAAATTTGGGAGACTTTTATTTTAGGTTCCTTATGTTGCTTGTTTTAAAGTCCTGGTGTCTGTGTGAGACTCTCTGCTCGTATTCGTGGTGATGAAGAGAACTGGGAAAACCAGAACAGGTTAAAACCTTAGAAAACAGAAGCTTGACTTTTCTTCCAAATAGGGGGGAAAAAAAGTCTATTTAAAACTAGCTTCCTGCTGGTTCAGGCCTGATTCCTGGTGTCTGTAGGTTGGTATTTGGAGCTGTGTGTCCAGGAAGGGAGAAGTTAACAGGCAGAGTGGTGGCCTCTTGCAATCCAAACCTCAGGCAGGATTGTAAATGGCGGTGAGACGAATCCTGTGGATGTGATGTGAACAGGGTCGACAGACTGCCTTTAAATGTGGTGCTGGGTGGGTAGGGCTGAATCGTAATAATTGAGTGGATAATCTGTAAAAATAGCATGCCCAAGGATCCATTACTTAAGGGAGATTGTGCTGAAGCATCTAGTTGCTTTGGAAATCTTGCTTCTCTCTTGCGCTGTCATAGGTTACAAATCAGCCTGCTTGTTCTTGTGAGGAATCCCCTCGGAGCTGCTGCCCACGCAGCATCGGTTCTCGGAGCCCACGTGGCGATGGAGGAGCGGGAGCTGCTGCAGATGCCCTGGCTGCCGTGGGACGTGCTGCCTCCCACCTCCGTCACGGCGGGGAGGTCCAGCTGCACTGTGTGAGAGAGAAATGGGAAGGTTGTGTCAGGTCGTTTGGATTTTTCCGTTCCTAAAGCGTGGCAATAGGAGGAAATTTGCTCTTCCTCTTCATTCGTGGTTTGGTCAGAAGAAGGGGAGCTCGACCTTCTTGCCACGGTCCTTCCACCCGCTCGGTGGGTTCCTGGGATGACAGGAGCGGGGCTCGGCGACCCTCTTACCTGGTTTGGGAGAGAGTGCAGATTTGTGGAGTGCAGCCTGTAAGCTGTGAGCACAGCTGCTCTGGAACGGGTGTCCAGTGAATTGGTGGGGTTTTCTGTTTTCCGTGAAACAAAGCTGGTTTTGGCATGTTTATAAGCATGTTGTAAATGACATCAAAACGTATTTAGGAGTTAAATGTCTCCTGAGGAAAAAACCAGAGGGAAGCTTTTTCTTTAAAAAAGAAAATAAATAAAAAAAAATCCAATTCAATTAATCCCAATGGGTGGCTTTAGCCCCAGGCAAGGGTTTTTTCTCCCTTCTCTTCCCCCCATGGAGAAAACACTGAATTCATTCACAGCTGCAACAAATGCAGTGTCCTGGAGAAGAGAGAACACAGACAGGGAACAGAGTGCAGATGAGCCACATAAATTCCTCATTTAAGCTTAGCAACAGCAACAATAAAAAGGAAATCTGTAAATACAGAACCCAGAAGGACAGTTGCATTCTGCTATGGATTATTCTTTTCATGTAAGGAGAATCCATGAAACCCAAAGTGACAGTTGTTCATCAAGTCATACCAACAGCCGTCAGCGTTGGAAGTATTGGCTTTGGGATTTAAACTCTCCTGGGGAAGTTAGAGCCCGTCCTTTCCACAGCTTTTTGGTAACTGAAGAAGTTTGGACTGTTTCTGATATTCCCGTGGTTGAAGAGCAGTGGTTGCTTTGAGGCTGACGTGCTCATTTATTCCATGTGAATTCTAACGCTTTATAATTGGTAGCAAAAGATTCTACACTTTTTTCTGTAAAACCATAGCAGCTATTCGGCTACGAAAAATCAGGCTTTTATATCACTTTATTTTTGCTTGCATCCTGCCCACCTCAGAGGACTTGCTAAGTAGAAGCACTCGTCTTAAAATATAAATGTTGTCTTAAGCTTACTCCATTATTCAAGCAATGTTTAGTGTAACCTTGTCATTTTCTTACAGCGATCCAGCTGCCAGAGCTCTCTGGGAGTCCTTCATGAACCTCAAGCAGAAGGAAGCTGTGATGGAGGCTCGGAGACACCTTGTGGAAGCTGCGAGCAGAGAAAATTTGCCGATTAAGATGAGCATGGGTGAGTAGCATGACGTAGCCTTCCCTACATAGCGATCGCGTGAAAGATGATGTCAGCTCCTCTTCTGCCACTGAACCCCCCCGGGGAAACCTCGTCCCATCCTTGGTTCATCCCCGTCCTTGTCAACGGCTGCAGGAGAGCATCGTGGCTGCCATGGGATCTTTCTGGTATAGAAGTGAGAGGCAATTGTTTTCTTTCAAATAAAACAGCCTTAAAAAGATTGAAAGCAGTGGTGAAAAAATGGAGTTCTATCAAGGAGGGCTTTAAAGGCTTGCAGATGGTTAGTGGTGCTGCTTGCCTTTATTCTGCACAGCAGAAGAATTTGGGTATTCCTAAGAAGTCAGCAGGATTTGTGTCCTGAAAGCAGCCGCTCTGATGGAAGTCGTGCAGGTCTTGCACGTGATTACGTTATACAGGTCGTGGTTACATTCCGTAGGTAGTGAGGTTTGTGGGAAGTAAGGCTGCCTGACTCGAGAGACTTTCACCTGAAAACCACGTCTGGGCACCTGGATTCTTCAAAATATTAAAGGTACAGAGTATAACGTAATGACTTTCAGTAGCTTTTTTAGAACCTCATTCTCCCCATATACCGTACTCAGTGAAATGCAGGAATTGATATATTGTTAGGCCTATAAAAACTGGTATTGCTCTATACCACAATAATTTTTTGCGCTTTGTGTACTCCAAGACTATTTTATGCTGAACTTTTCAACAAGAGAGAAAGGTCCTCATGGAATCAGAGCAACAGTCTGGGACTCCAGAGTCAACTGCCAAGATATTGTAGAAGAATTAGATGTACAGCCAACTCATGAACTCTTAACAACTATAACATTTCATGGGTTGCATGGTCTTTACAAATACCTAGAGCATGAATGTAGTAGATTATTGATCAGAAATAGTAGGTCTCTGCAGCAGTAACGCTGTCAGCTGCTTTAAAGAAATGGAACAGGAGCAGCTGTGAGAGGGCTATAACAGATCTGTTTGAAGGAGGTAAGGCACAGTAAATAATAAAATCTTGTTTAAGCTTTCGCTGATTGCGTGTGAGTATTCACCATAATAACATTTTTCCTGTTATATATGCCTTAAAGAAAAATTATTAACATTGAAATTCAGCTTCGTTTTAAAAGTAATTGCTTCCCGTCTTTGAGAGGTGATGATCCATCTGCTACCTTTGCTACTTTGTGTGACTGATGAGATCAGCCACCCCGTGACACTGTGTCCCCTTCCCCTGGTGTCCAGCGGAGGCTGCGGTGACCCGCTGCTTAATCCTGTTAGCTGACACTTACTGATGGCAGCCTGAACGCCTGACGTGCGTGGGCCCAAGATGGTGCTGGGTAGAAAGATTTAATAGCGGGTGGTGAAGCAAATTTCTGACACTGTAGTTCTTGATACTTGTTTTTTGTTGAAGTGTAGCTGTAATTTACTGATGTTTATGGAACTTTGCTGTTTATTTTGTGAATTTTGTGTTTGTCTTGCAGTAGAATCATAATCGGTTGTTACCTTTGTAGTCCAACTTCAAAGGGTGAAACAAAATTTGAGGCATTCTTGTAAGTGATAAATAGGGATAAAAAGAGAAATGAGGAAAGGAGAGCACTACAGTCACCAAAATCAAAACCTCTTATGGAGCATAAATGCAGCAAACCTGAAACTCACACCCAGAGCTCACACTGGCCGATGACACGTATTTATTAATGACTTTTTTAGAACAGATCTGCATCTTTACAGCATGCATTGCTCATTCATCGTGCTACAGAACACCTTAGTTCTCTGTAAATTGTATTGTTTATCAATTGCTGCTTTGGCTGAAAAGGAAAAATTCTGGTGGCCTGTTCTGGTTGGGATTGCTGTGTTCGGTCAAAAGGCAGCTCTGATATGTGGCAACACTGGCTTGAGAGAAGGGAAATGCTTTCACTCTGCTCTGTGCTTGGGTTTGAGTTTTTATCATTATACCCCAGGTTCTGCCTGTATCTGAAGATCTTGGTGTATTGCACACTGGTTTTCCTAACACTTAGGGTATTTTCTGAGTTCTTATGGCCCTAATGTTAAATGTCAGAGAGTTTTTCTAGCATGAAAGTTGCTTCCTCCTCTCTTTACTAAAACCAGCTGTGTCAGATGGTAAGAGTGTTTTCCTTACTACTACTCTCTTGCTTTTTTTTTTGTGCCCCTGGAAATAAGGAGTGAATTACATTTGAAAGCAAAGCTTTGAATTCCATTTGGTGCAGCCGAGCCCTCCTGCAGTGGCCACCTGCCCAGACAACTGCATCGCGTGTGACGCTGGCGGCGCAGGAGCCCTGTGCCGGTACGGGAGACTCCATCCCATCCCTTCCCATATTTTTGATGCACAGAAAATAAAATCCTGTTGTTTTCTGGACTTTGAAAGGCTGCCCATTGCTCCGAGATGTGCGTGTGCTTGCCCACGTTTGCCCTGCAAGCGAGGTGCCCAGCTTATCACCTTCTCTGCCTGACTGCACGTGGCAGGAGCCCTGACCACCATGGGAGGACCCACAGCTCAAGCTTGCACTTACTGGGATCTTCCGAAGGTGTTGTAGAACCATAGAACCGGTTAGGTTGGAGGAGACCCAGAGAGTAGGAGAACTGTAGAAGGGGACACATGTCTTCTCCCCAACACCCCCAAACATCTGCCAGACGGCTGGGAACTCCCATCTTCTCCCGTTGCAGTCAGCAGGGATGGAGAGAGGAGAGTTTTGAGGGAGGAGAAGAAAGAGAATTGTAGAATCATTAAGGTTGGAAAAGACCTCCAAGATCATCAAGTCCAACCGTCAGCCCAACACCCCCATGCCTGCTAAACCACGTCCTGAAGTGCCACATCTATATGGTTTTTGAACCCCTCCAGGGATGGGGACTCCACCACCTCTCTGGGCAGCCTGGTCCAATGCTTGACCACTCTTTCACTAAAGAGATTTTTCCTAATATCCAATCTAAACCTCTCCTGACGCAAAATGAAGGAAATCAACAATTTTGGCCACATTTTTTGAGCTGAGTAGATCGGAGCACTGCTTTCAGGTGCTCTTGATTTTCATACTGGTTTTACTAGTTCCATCAAGGAAAGTGGTCGTGGGGGTGTCTGGAAGTTCTGCTGGCTGCTTCAGGAGGGTTCGGTGTAGAAAGAAGGCGGCTGGAGGTAGGGTGAGCAGAGCTGGCAACATTTTGTTGAAAGTTTTGGTGGGTGGATTACTGGAGCAAGCCCAGTTTCAAATGTAAGACCATCTCCACGGCATTCAGAAATAGAGTGGGATTCTCTCCTTTTACTGTAGCCGCCTCATACTCAGGTTTTCAGGTGAGCCATTAAGAGGCCTTATGCCATCCTTGTGGAAGACTTGCGTTTTTTCTTTTTTTCTTCCATTTATGTCTGAAGAAAGCATGTATTTTATCTGTCATTTCGCTTTGAGTGAAAGAACCACGTTGTTGTTACTAATCTCAGTGAGTGACACAGAATCACAGAATCACAGAATGGTCGGGGTTGGAAGGGACCTCTGTGGGGCACCCAGTCCAACCTCCCTGCCAAAGCAGGGTCACCTACAGTAGGTTGTAGAGGACCACGTCCAGGCGGGTCTTGAATATCTCCAGAGAAGGAGACTCCACAGCCTCCCTGGGCAGCCTGGGCCAGGGCTCCGTCACCCTCAGAGGGAAGAAGTTCTTCCTCATGTTCAGCTGGAGCTTCCTCTACTTCAGTTTGTGCCCATTGCCCCTTGTCCTGTCGCTGGGCACCACTGGAAAGAGTCTGGCCCCTTCCTCCTGACCCCCACCCTGCAGATATTTAGAGGCATCTCTAAGGTCCCCTCGCAGCCTTCTCTTCTTCGGGCTGAACAAGCCCAGCTCCCTCAGCCTCTCCTTGTAGGAGAGATGCTCCAGTCCCCTCCTCATCCTCGCAGCCCTGCGCTGGACTCTCTCCAGTAGCTCCTCATCTTTCTTGAACTGGGGAGCCCAGAACTGGACACAGCACTGCAGATGGGGCCTCACTAGGGCAGTGTAGAGGGGAAGAAGAACCTCCCTCGACCTGCTGGCCACACTTCTCTTGATGCATCCCTAGCAAGCTGTTCCGAACTGTTCGTTGCAAGCATTTTAAAATCCTATTTCTTTTTTAAAGAGGAACTGCAAGTCTCGGGAAACCGCATCACAGAGGGAGACAAAGTGCCACCTGACGGTCCGTAAAACCAACGAGAACGCAGAACTGTGGAGCTACTTTGCCGTTTCCTTGCGAAACAAAACCTGGACTGTACGGCTGTGCAGCGGATTTGATTTTCTGAGGTCAGCCCTGGGGAAGGCAGGCAAAGCACTGTGCGGAATTCCAGCCAGCGTGAAGGCTTTACGTGTGCGACATCCAGTTTTCTTATTGTTTAATCCGTTCCATCCAGAAATACATAACATGGGTATATGTTTTTTTGAGGATGTAATTTCCTGTGGAGCTCAGTAATGCTGCCAGTACTGACTTTTGGTATTGCTTACTGCGAGCATGCTGACATGGAGCCCCTTTTTACAGGATGCTGTAAATGCACTGAAACCATGTTACCAACGCAGTGGTGACATCCAAGTTTGGCCTTAACCCTTTCAGCTAAATACATTTCCCAAAACAGCGTGGGTTTGCATGTAGACAGGTGGAGCTGCAGTTTGGCACAAGTCCAGTTTAAATAAAGAGGTATTAAATACACACACACTCTCTCTTTAAAAATAAAACAAACTGCAAGAAAAACAAACAAACAAACCCCAAGAACAACCAACAACACAAAAACCCAACAAACAATGCTTTTTAAGAACTACATCAGCTCCATTTTGCCTCTGAGGCAACTGCAGTTGTGCTTTGGATACCCAGGTGAACGCTGGTGGATATCTGGAGAAAATAAATATCTGCCGAGTTATGGTCAGAGATCCCCTTGTGTAGGTGTAAATGTGTAGGTGTAAATTACTCTGGCATAATAAAAACTGAGAAACTTGTTTAAAGGATTAAGTCTGCTTTTGAAAAGCTCTTTGGAAGACAACGT